TCCCTCTCTCTCCCCATCTCTCTCTCTCTCCCTCCTCTCTCTCTCTCTCTCTCTCTCTCTCTCACACACACACACACACACACACACACACTCACTCTATATCATCATTGGTTAATCCCGCTTTTTGTTGCAGTGTTACAAATTGGCTCTGGTTACGTATATCGTTTATGACGCACGTGGTGTATTCATTGTAATTACGAGTACGCATCGCGACCGTGCTCGCATTTCGTGAACAAAGCTAACCTTTACCAACCGTCAGTTTGAACGTCGAACTCCGGATGTGTGGGTTGAAGCTATGTACAATATAATGGAGGGCGGGAGTTATCCTTTAATGCAAAACACTTTACCTAGCTTTTAAGTTCCAGACGAGATCACACCTGTGTCTCACTGTCTATGTACTAATGGACCAAGGATGAGTCTAGTGGTAACCTTTAATTTGTTGTGTCTTCGAATTGGAGGGATTCAAACAATGAGTAGCAAAGTCCATTCGATCCTGGGGAAACCGAAAGGTTGCATGTGTTTGTGTGCGCGCATATTGTGTGTGTGTGTGTGTGTGTGTGTGTGTGTGTGTGTGTGTGTGTGTGATATGTGTGTGTGTGTGTGAGTGTGTGTGTGTGTGTGTGTGTGTATGTGCGTGTGCGTTTGTCTTTCTTCTCTCTGTCTTCTCTCTCTGTGTGCGTGCGTGCGTATGCGTGTGTGTGTGCGTGTGTGTGTGCGTGTGCGTGCGTGCGTGCGTGTGTGTGTGTGTGTGTGTGTGTGCGTCTGTCTTTCTTCTCTCTCTCTGTCTTCTCTCTCTGTGCGTGCGTGTGTTCGTGTGCGTGCGTGTGTGTGCGCGTGTGTGCTTGTATTGCCTCTCTCTGTGTGGTTGATGTTTCTCAAGTCTTGTAAATTAAACATCTTATGACCGAGAAGAAAAATTTAACAGTCCAAAATAACAATACACCTTGTCTTGATGTTTGCAGGGATTCACATCACGCCGGATTGAGTTTCCTCTCGTCACGACTTGAAGACTCGCAAACTGTTGAATAAGCCACTGGATGCTACGCACCAACTGAACCGAAGAGTGTGTGAGTGAGACTTGTTGCACGTCTTTAAAAAGAGACTGTACGAGAAAACGGGGTTGAAGACATGGATACCATGCTGGATTACTTCTGGAACGTCTCCACGACGCCGGAGCCGTCAGAGAACCTGAGCGAGGGCGGCATGGCGGCAAACTACACCCGGGATCTGACGTCCCAGCTGAAGCACGACATCCCCATCACGGGCCTGTTCATCGTCAGTTACGGGCTGGTGTTTCTCTTCTCCCTGGGCGGCAACGTCGGGCTGTGCATCGTGGTGCTGAAGTACCCCCGCCTGCGCACCGTCACCAACTACTTCCTGCTGAACCTGGCTGTCGGGGACATCATGGTGACGGTGTGCTGCATGCCGTTCACACTTGTGGACAACATCCTCATTGGTTAGTACACTCTTGTTTGGTTATTCTTATTTATTTATTTTATTTGTTTGATTCAGGCAGAGCCCATAGACAACATAGACAACACAAAATACATAGATCTAAAAATACAATGCCTAGGATAAAAGAAACTGAGCGAAGGCCTATTTAAGGTCTGCTTACCAACTGGCAGTATCGACGCCAGAACTAACTTCTGGGGAAGGCATCAGAGCGTAAAAGCAGACTCATGATGTCGTTTCCCGACGCCAGGAGGCGAGCCGCAAAAGAGTGCGTCAGCTTTCGCCTCCTGGCGTCGAAGGTGTCGACACCCAACTGGGCAAAAAGCTTATGTTTTCAGTAGCGTTTGTCTGTCTGTTTGTCTGTGAACAGCATAACTCAAGAAGCTTAGTACTAAATATACATTGTCATTAAACTTGGTAGATGGGTAGGTCTTGATGAGACCTGGAAATGATTAGATTTTGGGCCCCCTGGCGGCTTTTGTTGGTACTGCAGCAGAACTTCCGGTTTTGATATCTCGCGATCTAGACATGCTAGGGTCACGAATTTTAGTTGGGAGATAGCTCTAGGGGTAGGGAAGAGGTGACATGAGCTTGGGCCCCCGAGTCTGTATCTGTATCTGTATAGCCGGTATAACCGCCTTTCGGCGTAACACACCGCTTCGCAGGCACGCGGCGCGGCGGCAACTGGCTACATTACACCGATCAACTCATTACACCTAACCCTTGAACTTCTAACTCTAGACATTGTTTAAATCTATCTAATGACAATGCTCCTACTGTACTTGTTGACAGCGAGTTCCACTCTGCGATAGTTCTAGGAAAGAATGAATTCTTGAACACCTCAATCCTTGGTTGATAACTCTGGTACTTGAAGGCATGGCTATTTCTTGTTCTCTTCTGGGCTGGTATTAGGGTCTTAGTAGTTGGGACGTCCACCAATTTATTAGTCATCAGTATACTCTTGCGAGGTCGTGTGAAGTAACAGCAGAGTGTTCGGCTCAAAACCAAGAAGTTTGAATCTTGCCTTTTCACCGATCTTGTGCCCTTGGGAAAGGTACTTTTGACGACTCTACTTACTTCAGGTGGAAATGAGTACCTAGCTTTGGTTAGGGACGTTCCTGACGTTAAATGGAGCCACACACCCCAGTGAAGCTTCAAAGAGAGTAGGGGTCCTTCCCAGTGTGAATGGTTCTGAAACCTTGGCCGCACCTGGGGTCGTATTGAGGTCACCTGGGGTCGTATTGAGGTCACCTGATTTAGCGCAAATGGCAGCATCTGCAAAGCCTTGCGATTCAGCCCAACAAAAGTGTAAGCTACGTCGATGAAGGTTAGACATCCAGGTAATACGATACGCCAAAAAGCAGTTACTCAAGCAACTGGATATGATTTTGAAAACGTCAGACGTTTCAGCTAAGTGACTGAGAGACCAGAGGGGAAATGCAGGTTTATAAGCACAACCTTTTGATTGATATACAAATAAAGTGAAGACAAATTTTTGGAAGTCGAAAATGGAACAAAAGTCAGACATGTCAAGACAAGATAATGCAAATTAGTCAGAAAGCTCCTGTTATACAGAACAGGAGCTTAAGTATTGTCTGTTCTAGGGGCTGGGAGTGCCAAATCCCAAGTGCAGGAGAGATCCACCCGTAGCCCCCCTTCCTTGTTGAGGGTGGGGTTCTACATTCTTTCATATATTGCCTCTTTAACACCCCGTTCCCACCAGCGTGTTTCGCGGTCTAAGATATCCGTGGACTCGAGTTTGAAAGAGTGACCCTGGTTGTGTTGTAGGTGGTGGAAAATAGCTGAGGAGTAGCCGTTGGCACTAGGTTGGCAATGTTCTTTGTATCTTACTTTGAGTAAGTGTAAGCTCCTCATAATTCAGCCCCCTTAGCTGCGAAGAGAGAATAGTCAATAACAAGACATGATCCCGTAATATACGAGAGAATTTACTGGTTTATAACGGCTTCTTTTCATTTCCCAGGCTACGCTTTCGCCGAGGCCATCTGCCGACTCTCCCGTATGATCGAGGGAGTCTCCGTCGCTGCGTCCGTGCTGGGACTGAGCGCCGTCGCCTTCTACAGGTTAGCAAAGATTCTTTATTGATGAAGTTTATTGCAAATTCATGCCCGGGGGGCTAATTGCAGATTACAAAAATAAAAGAACAATGAAACGTAGTATAAAATAACTAAAATCTACATGATAAAAGGTAGTTGTCTAGAGCTATAACTATGTCTAAAACTATGTCTAAGGGGTTTGACTTCTCTTATTTAGACCATGGAAGACGTAACGTCCCACCTTTTCTAAAATCAGTGGGTTTTGGGAAGTTAAAAGAAGAATAGTTTTTCTTGGTCTGTAAGTTTAGTAAAATTGGGAAAATTGTAGAAGTTTGAATTGTTAACTCATTTCGAGCGTTGCTATGAAAGGAACAATTTGAGATAAAGTGTATTTCGTCTTCCACAGCCTTATTGACACAACAAAAAGTACAGGGACTTTTCCATGGTCTTCTACAACTTAAGGTCTAACAAGGTTAAATACACGTATGGATAACTTCATCCTACGTACAGAATATATGTATGTGGCAAATTACATACAGAATATATATCAGTGGTAACAATAAAGGTTTAACTATTTTCCAACATGTAGTCTTTAAGATTGAAACATTATTTAATGTATTTTCTATTTGAGTACTGTATTAGTTATCTCCTCGGAGAATTTGATTGAATTTATCTATAGGATCTAACGTATTGAAATCAGTTGAAAAGTGGAAAGAAAAGTGAACAGTAATAGGCGATTATCATTGTAGAGTGTACAATCCATTATAAAATGGCGCTCATTTTCAATCATTGGGGCGGTATTTTGGTGACGATTCCACAGAAAATTGTACTATGTCCACGCATGCCTTGTGAGCTTCTGTTTTACTGGAAAACACAATGGCAGACAATTACGCCGCTTGTCTGGCATACTAGTACATAGATTTTGTCTTTTATTACTATCAAACCATCTATTAGCAGAGAGTACAACGTGAAACTGAAATGTCTTTTTGTTTTATGAAAAACTTAAACTGTTCTCCAACTCAAAATTTGACTCACCAGAAATTTTCGACTGAATCACTCAGTCTTCCTCAGCTATCTGACCCAAATGCTGTGGACACGTGATTTTTCCCACGTGTGACGTCACCAATGGGTCAAAGGTTGTCTGAAGTCAATATCGCCCCCGTCCCGGTTGAGCGATGGTTGAAGTGCCCTGATGTATATGGCCTCTTTTATGCCTCTCTTGAAGTTTAAGTTTTTCATAATGTAATTTACCAACTCAGATGAACTTTCATGCTGACTTTTTGTTTCGTTTCCGCAGGTACAGAGCTATCGTGCACCCACAGAAGCCAAAGATGACCCGAAAACGTGCGTACCAGCTGATCGTGGTGTCCTGGCTGGTGTCCCTGTTCATCATGCTCCCGCTTGCTTTCGTCCTGAAGGGTCGCTACCTGGAGGATCAAGGAATCAAGGTCTACATCTGCAAAGAGGAGTGGCCCACCATAGAGTACGACCAGGCCTTCACCACCACCCTCTTCGTCTTCGTGTACTTCCTGCCTGTGATGAGCATGGCGGTGATGTACGGGGAGGTGTCTCGGAAGCTGTGGGGGAGACAGCAGATGAGCCGGAGCTCCCAGAGGTACTCGGACCGGGCGCGCAAGCGGGCGCAGGTCACCAAGATGCTGATCATGATCGTGGTGCTGTTCGCGCTGTCCTGGCTGCCGCTCTGGGTCCTGCAGTTCCTGGGGGTCTTCGCGCAGCTGCCGGAGACGATCGCGCGCGACCTGTTCATGTACGTCTGGCCCGTGGCCCACTGGCTGGGCTACTGCAACTGCCTGGTGAACCCCATCGTCTACGGGTACTTCAACAGGGACATCAGGAGACAGCTCCAGTCGCCAGCCTCCGTCACCATGCCAACCATGTGAGATGACGTCATCATCATCGTCGCCATGCCAACCATGTGAGATGACGTCAACATCATCGTCACCATGCCAACCGTGTAAGATGACGTCATCATCATCGTCGCCATGCCAACCGTGTGAGATGACGTCATCATCATCGTCACCATGCCAACCGTGTAAGATGACGTCATCATCTTCGTCGCCATGCCAACCGTGTAAGATGACGTCATCATCATCGTCGCCATGCCAACCGTGTAAGATGACGTCATCATCATCATCGCCATGTCAACCGTGTGGGATGACGTCATCATCATCGTCGCCATGCCAACCGTGTAATATGACGTCATCATCATCGTCACCATGCCAACCGTGTAGATGACGTCATCATCATCGTCGCCATGCCAACCGTGTAAGATGGCGTCTATATCCACAGTAACAAGAAGTCTGACATTTTGGACTCCCAGGATCGACTGTTTTGGGGTATAATGAACATGAGGGGAAATACCCAACTGAATCACATCATACATTAGATTTCTACTCATACGATTGTTTGACGTAACTTGCTCTCACGTTTACACCATCAGTCGAATTGCCACATTTCTGCCCCCTCGCAACCCAACATGACCCCAGCAGGACACCGAGGGCACTCACGTGAAATCCAATCTCAAATAACTCGACTCCCCAGGTCTAAGTGCGGAATCGACACACACACACACAAACACACACACACACTCACACACACACACACACATACTCACTCACTCACGCACACACACACACACTCACTCACTCACTCACTCACACATACACACATATTCACTCACAGACACACACACACAGACACACACACACACACACTCACACAAACACACACACACAGACACACACAGACACAGACACAGACACACACAGACACACACACACAGAGGCACACACACGGACACACACTCACACTTTCACACATACAGACACATACTCACTCACACACACACTCACTCACTCACACAGAGAGAGAGAGAGAGAGACACACACACAGACACACACACACACACACACACAGGCACACACACGGACACACACACAGGCACACACACGGACACACACTCACACTCTCACACATACACACACAGACACACATGAATTCCCTCATGCCCTCCACTAATTTTGTCAACCTACTCCCTACGGGCACACAGGTGCAGAAACCTACAGCTCAGCCACACAAAACAATACTTCCGTAGCGGAAGTAATTACCTGCTAACGTTAGGTATTGGCAGCAGGAAGATAGCAGAAGGGACCACCGACGTGTTGGCATCAAATACAGGAACTGGTTGTTATTGTGTTCAAAGAACCTTAAAACTCAGTCTTGTAGGATAGTCATTGTGAATTAATGGATGTACATTTGATGGACATATAATACAGTATGTAGAAACTGCTGGAAACAGACAAAGACATATTAAACAGTACAAGTGCCTCCCGTCCAGGTGTAAAGCCATTGGAATGATTCCTTCACTTTACAGTTAGTATACAGATCCTTGTTTGCGTTATAGTTGCACTGTGCTGGCCATTTTGCCTACCTTTGGTCGGAATCATCGACGGTATTAAAGCCATCACTCTTGTTTGTATATGGAAAATTGTGTATATAGGAATCCGTCCTTTGTATCATTGGGAAATTTGATGCACCAATCACTGTATTATATACACAGCACATAGCGTAATGGAATTTGCCAAAAAAAAACGTCACACAAAGACTGCACTGAACATTGTACAATGCAATACACGTGGGTTGTATTTTCGATCTAGGTGTGACAATGAGTACCTTTAGTTTACTATACTACAGTTGTGATTTTTTTGTTCTGGGACCTTCCCTGGTTTGTGTAGAAGTGCAGAAGAAGTGGAGTCAGAATCGTTTTTGGCCCTTAGTTCTCTTTGCATGCTATTGACAATCAGAAATGAAATTTAAGATATTGAGTGTTATAAAGCGTTATAAAGATTACCTTTAAAAAAGGTTGAACTTTATTCCAACACACAATTGTACAGGGATCAAATTTTCAGCGACCACTGTCGCCTTCATCAGGATAATTAATGACCAATCACTTCACAACGTGATCTCGCGAGAATTACGGTTTACAAACACGTGACCTTATTCACACGAGATTTTACTGGTACGTGACGTAAGTAATTGATCAAAAGTGCCAGGGAGTTTATATCGTCCACCATCTCTATAAAGTGAAGGCTGAAGTGCTCTGATATATAATGGCCTCCTTAATGCCTCTTAAAAAGTAGTCCTGTTCAGTGTCCAGTATTCTCACTTTGTCCAAAATTTGATCCCTGTACAATTGTGTGTTGGGATAAAGTTCAACCTTTTACTATGATTACTACCAACACAGATGAACTTTCATGATAATCAAAGATTATCTTTGTTGATAATTACCTGTATATAGCGGTTAATGCTACCTCCGAGTACGGAGGTTTTGCGTTCGGTATGTCTCTGCGTTTGCTTGTATTTTAGTAGTCATTTCAACGTGCTAGGCTGGTAACAGTTGAAACTAGGTCCAAGGTCCCAGGAAAAGGTTATCTCACTTCTTGTCATCATTTTCCAGCTATAAACTTGTCTCTTGCCTTATGGGAGCCAGTGAGAAAGAATCAACGAGAGATTCACAATGATGAATAAAAAGACGAATTTGACAAAAATTCTTTAAAAAAATATATTTTACGGAGGTATGACACTGTTGATGGTTTCTTGTTACTATTTTTACCTCCGGGGGAGGAGACATCCTTCTGCGGAAGGGTTTTGTGAGAGATTTAGATTTTCATGTTTTTCAGATTTTCAGCTGTTTCTCGCGTTTGGGTGGACGGATGTTTTTAGGACTCGGTGTATGTTTTTCTATTGGGCTGTAGATTATGCACGTTCTTTTGTTTGTATTGTATTTGTGTTTTCGGGCAGGAAAATGGTGCCTTTTGGTGGCGCCAGAACATACCTTTGAGCGCAAAAATGGTCGCGACCGTTGACCTTTGGCATGTTTAAGCTATGCTCGGTCTGGTCCACGTATATGACCCCTCACACAGAGGGGTGTCCAGTCTTGATAAATTCTTTGTTTAAAAACCTATATAAAAATATACAATAAAAAGCCCGGAGGTATAAAATCTCAGATTTTACTTGTTCTGTATGAAGACTGTAAGATATGTTCCACGTTTAGAGCCCGTTTCACACAGCAGATCTATAGAAGATGTGTACACGTCGCTGTATAAACAGTAAACAATTCATTGCTTAAGAGGAATCATAAATGTACATGAAGTAGGTTGTTTTCTTGAGTTTGCAGACGTTTTTGTTAACAGATATTGTATGTTTAGCGCATAGAATAATATATAATATTTTAACGCATTTATACATACACCAGCTGTACGTATAGAGAAGTAAACTTATTCATTTTAGGTGTTTCTATTTATTTATATAATAAATATCTTCTTGCTGTAATTTGGATTGTATACTGAAAGTCAGAATTACGTATACGGCTCTGCTTTTGTGCACTTCGACTTGTACCGTGTCTTATTTGTATTGAATAAACCATCGTATGACTCATTTTTGTTTGTGTATTTCGCATAACCGGTAGAATATCTTTATTTATTCATTTGGCTTACAAAGAAGGCAGGGTGTCCCAACTAGTGAATGACTATTACTAAGGGACACCCTGGGGGAAAAATGAACATTATTAGACATACATATAATGCATATTACAATTTACAGAATACATGCTTAGTGAAATATACAAATTATGTACATTGGTGCAATAATATACATACATTTTAAAAGTACAGTTATAGAGTCCTGGTATATACATGGTTGCCGAGGTACAAAATGCAATAAATGTTTATATGGGGGTTTGATACAAATTCAATTTGATTAAGCAGAATATGGATCCCCAGGGGATTTCCATACTTTCTGCTTGGAGATTATCTACATATGCCCAAAATCATGTAACTCGTCGTTTCTTTCTTGATTTATCAACAAAGCTGCTAGGGCCGGGGACCAAACCCTCATAACTTATTCCTGACAGGAAAAGCTATCTGTCACCAAAAAGTCAAGACCATATGTTCAGGACAAGAGACATAAAAACCGGAAGTTCTGCTGCAGTACCAAGGTCATCCACCAGGAGGCCAAGATTTGACCTTAAACTTTGCCTTCCTAAGACCTACCAACGTACCAAATATCATCACAATCCATAAAGGCGTTCTGAAGTTGTGCTGACCACAGGTATGCGGAAACGCAGATACACAGACAGACACACGGGCACACCAAAAACAATACCTCCATTTTTCATGGAGGTAATAGCAAGGAATAAGAGTGAATGGCTTAGCATAGATCGATGTGTAAGAAGAGCTAATCACATAACCCAGTGGCCTTTGACCAAAGATTATAGCGGCCCAATAGATGCTTCCTTTCTACTCACACCTTGATCCTCTTTTACAGAACTCTATGAATGCGTGAGTTTTGGGTAAGCCTTAGAAATGACTAGAATACCAGACACCTAATTGGAACTTACATGTCTGACCAAGCATAAACCTCCGCTAACTCTCCAAGCAGATTTCTTCGGGGGCGTACTGTGTCCATCTATCCTACTACAATGTCTCAAGTAGACTTTAAAGCCAGAAGAACCACGAAAAGGTCACCACTGGCTCTGAATCCAGAATCTGAATCCAAAAGTTTTAGGGAGATGCGAAGACGTAAGAATACATGTATATAAGGCCACAGCAAGTAATTTTTATGGATGACATCAGCGCGCGCATTAATTTTCGCCTGATTTTGGAGTGAAAAAATAAGAAATTTTGTTGCCTTCTGACAGTGGTCACCATGCCGAAAATGAGCCATGGTGTCTGTTGCCATGCTGGAAGGTGGATGGCAGATAACTATGAAGACAGGAGACAAGAAAAGGCTCTGATTTAATTTTTTTTCACTTTGACGCAGTGGTATGTGATGCTGGCTGTGTATATGTGATATTCCCACTGAATCAAAACCATTTGTACAATAATTGAGTCAAAATTTGAAAATGTAGGAGCCTTGTTTTTGTCGGCCCACTTTGTTTTTTTTTCGCCCGCTCTCATTAGATTTGGAGTCTGTGCAGGATGTCATCCATAAAATTTATTTGCTGTGGCCTAATCTAATGTTTAGTTTGCACGTCTTGCCATGAAAGCAGGAAGCTACCGCTCGACCTTCACATTTTATCCACCTTTTAAGATTCCGGGATTGTACACTCCATGCTCCTCAACTTACGTGCGAATGGGTGTCTATTTTTATTCAAATGCCGCTGAGGTTATACTCCATGAGCCCATTGACGTCAAAGCTAAAGGAATATGCTGCTCTGCCTTCAAATATCAGAGTTATCAACCAAGAATTGAGGTATTCAAAAACTTGTATTTCCCGGAACTATCGTAGACTGGAACTCGTTGCCACCAAGCACAGTTGGGGCATCATCACTAGAAAGCTTTAAACAACTCTTGCAATCAAATGTGCAAAGATTGAGTGTAACAAGTCGTTCGGCGTGATATAGCCAGCTGCCGCCGCGTGCCTGCGAAGCTGGCGTGTTACGCCGAATGGCGGTTATACCGGCTATATCGATACAGATACAGATATCTTGTATTTGCCTGATGTTCATCAAAGTGTCGCCATATCACGCCGCTTTCATTTACGTCCTTTTTTCAAAGCGCTTTTATCAAGTCGATAGATCATTACCATACGAGCTAGCGACAAAAGATGTCTGAGGTAAGGCCACACCGCCTTAACTTTATGGATGACATCCACGCGCGCATTGATTTTCGGCTGCTCTCAAAAAAAAAAAGACAAAACACCACGTCCTCCGAGGCTCTGGCCTGGCTCCATAGCTGGGCCTGGGTAGTCATTGGTAGTTTAATAGCGACAATACGGAGCCGGTGGTAACTCTGAAGGATGGCACCCAGGCTACCGAAGCTCCACGACTCAAGAACTCAGTACATACGTACAGTGCCGATTCATAAATTCCGCAAAAAGCCAGCATGTGCCGGCTTGTCCTGTACGTCGCTATGTATCGCAAATTCACAATACCAGCTTTGTATTCCTGTGCGTGGTTTAGTAGAATTTTTATTTTTGGCCGGATTTGTTTTTATTCGCCCACGCGCACTAGTTTGGGGGTCTTCAGAGGATGTCATCCATAGAATTAAGTCAGTGTGGCCTAAGCGTAAAGTACTCGTAAAATTATAACTTAAAGGTAAACGCGCCAAGCTCTTTTTAGTTCATATGGACAGTGTTTTTTAATGGGCTTGGTATAGGAAGGCGGTATTAGACATGCCTGATATTGCATGGCGAAGCCCATCCCTCTCCTTCTACCACATTTTACCTGAAGCTAGGTAGCCATTTACACCTAAGTGTAGTGAGGAAGGCCGTGTAAAGTGCCCTCCCAAGGACACAAAGCTGCTTCCAGGAATCGAACCCGTGCCCATTAGCCTAACCACTGGGCTCTCGACACTAAAGCGACGGTCACAACCCGCCGTACGTGCTTCTGCGTGCTGTCTACGTGCAAAAACGTAGGCAAACGCAGGGCATCCGTGCGTGGTGAGTACCGCCTCCGTACGGAATCCTACGGATTTAGGAGCACGCAGACACGCCGTAGAACTTTAAGTGCATGTAAAACTTTTTCTACGTGCGGTCTGCGGATTCACCACCCGTGCGTGCGAGTACGTGCGACGCGCGTGCCCCGTACGTGCCGTGCGGAAGAAGCACGTGTGAGTACGGCCTCCTCACGATAAAGTTGCAATCGCACAGAGATCGTACGTTGTAAGCACGTACAACTCACTTACCACTTGCGCAACGTACGATGCACGCAACCACTCACGGCCAGACGTGGCGTGCAGACCACACTCTTACACCTTGCGCAACCGTGCGAGTGACGTGCGATTGACGTGCGTCGACGCCACTCCTTCTCTACGTTTTCAGAAAAAACGTAGAAGACATAGCCCCCCAAAGAACGTAAGGACAAAAAGCACGTACGGCGGGTTGTGACCGTAGCTTAAGTGAGCACTTTGTAGCGCCCCAAAGTGCTCGTATTAAATGTCGACGTGTTTAGGACAAGGACACGAGGTATAACAGAACGTTAACAACCATCACGCGACATGGAGAGCCAAGACAACAAAAGCCACATTAAACATTAATCACTGTATGAACACACGACTTGGAGTTAGGCCACACCGACTTAATTTTATGGATGACATCCGCGCGCGCATGGATTTTCGCCTGTTCTCAAAAAAAAAAAAAAAAAAAAAAAAAGATCACGTCCACCGAGTTTCTGGTCTGGTTCTAGGCCTGGGTATTCCATGCTACTTAGCGACAATACGGAGCTGGGCACCCAGGCTATAGCGCTACCGAAGCTCCACGACTCAAGAACTCAGTACATACGTACAGTGCCAATTCATAAATTCCACAAAAAGCCAGCATTTGCCGGCTTGTCGTATACGTCGCTTAGTACTGCCGCAAATTCACAATACCAGCTTTGCATTCCTGTGGTTTAGCAGCATTTTTATTTTTGACCGGATTTTTTTTATTCGCCCGCGCGCACTAGTTTGGGGGGTCTTCAGAGGATGTCATCCAGAAAATTAAGTCGGTGTGGCCTTAGTAGCATTTTCTAGAACACGCGTACTCGTCATTGAAAAAATTGTTGCAGAATTTCATTCCATGTTTAAAAGAGGTAGTTGTTCCTTAAAATTAGAGAAGAATGATCACAAAAACGTGCTACACTTTGTACCTTGCGCAACTGTTGTGCAATAAAGTTCATTCATACAGACACTAATATGCAAGGACATGCAATGCAACTGGTCTCCATGTATGGGCTTGTCGTAATGTGACATATGATCGCATCCCTTTGTTCGACACCAGGTGATGAGCAGCCTATTGTAAGAAGGACAATAGTAGCTTCTTCAATTATTCAACAGGCACCGCCTATCCTTCCGTAGAGTCATCTTATTGTCCTGGTTTCCACTGAGCTGGGACCTTGTTTTCTCTTGTTGCTCAAAACTCAACACCTAGGCTAGCATAGGAAAGAGTGTGACAACTTATTTCACAGTAGTTTTGCGTTTATTAGAAGCTATGTAGATTTAGAGAGCGTTCGGTGGTAGATAACAAGCTGTCGTTTGGGAACAACGACAACTTGTGGAGTACCAAGCGATGAAAATGACCCCAAGGTAAGTTCTATCACCATATATATGCGTATCATACTACTGTCTCTCGAGTTTTGCGATGATTTTCAATGATGTTTACCGATGGATGTTTAAAAATTGTATTTTTTGTTGTGTCAGTGAAACTCATATTTTCAGCATATTCAACTAGGGTATAAATATTGTTATCTGCCAAAAAAATAGATAGCGTTCTTCATCATGTAAAAATGATTCTTGTCTTAAAAAGAGGTATTTTGTTCAATTTTGAATGTAGTATGCACGAATTTCGAAAGACTTATATGTAGAATTATTTGTGTTGGAACAAAATCCGGGTGTATTTTGCAAAGTATTTACGTGGCAACATTTTCTTACAACGCTCGAAACGCCTAGCCTCCGTAGCAGGCTTATAGAACTGGGGGTTTGGTGGTCTTCGGCTGTTTTCTGATTAGCCCAGTTCTAAAAACGGGGGTAATTCAACCAGGCCGGCTATGTTGTCTATATGCAATCCGAAAATAGCACATAAAAGCTCCCAAAGACCCTGAAGACCCCCCAAACCCCCAGTTTTTGGCATGCTATGGAGGCTAGGAAAGGTCTGCCTTCTGATACATTTGAAATGGAAACTACATGTATCTTTTGAGAATCTCCACATATGTCCTAATTCAAAGGAACAGATCTCCAGTCTAAAGTCGTAAACCATCTGACTTGTTAGCTTTGAGCTTATGGCTTGTGGTACATGCATGGGGAGGCCGTAAAGTAGAATGTTCTTGAACGTGGTATACATATCTGCCAAGCTGCAAGATTCTGCACGAACAACTATCAAAGGGGCGCTAGTGTAACGGAAATGAAAAGAAACCTACAGTGGGGGTCACTGGAAGACAGACAAAGAATGTCCCGACTGTGCATGATGTACAAAATGACTAATAAACTGGTGGACGTACCAACCACTATTATTATGAAGTATCTGATACCAGCCCAGAAAAGAACAAGAAAAACAGACATGCCTTCAAATACAAATATCAGAGTTATCAACCAAGAATTGAGGTGTTCAAAAACTCGTATTTCCCCAGAACTATCGTAGACTGGAACTCGTTGCCACCAAGCACAGTTGGGGCATCATAACTAGAAAGCTTTAAACAACTCCTGCAATTTAATGTACAAAGATTGAGTGTAACAAGTCGTTCGGCGTGATATAGCTAGCTGCCGCCGTGCTGAGTGCCTGCGAAGCTGGTGTGTTACGTCGAAGGGCGGTTATACTGGCTATACAGATACAGAAGCTGGTGTGTTGCGCCGAAGGGCGGTTATACCGGCTATACAGATACAGAAGCTGGTGTGTTACGCCGAATGGCGGTTATACCGGCTATACAGATACAGAAGCCGGCTCAAAAATGCCTCATGATTTCCATTCTTTGACAAAGCAATTACTCCAATGCCAAATCTAGGGCGCCACATATTGCAATTCAAAAGTTGTATTTGAGATAGAGTGATTTTAAAAGAGACAGTTCCTCCAGTGCCAAAACGTACTTCGAAATTTGATATGGGCCACGAATTACTTCTCCATATCCACAAGGTAGCGCCATGAATTTTTGATGCGATGCATGTTGTCATATCTAATCGCCTAGCGAGCCCGCCGAAGCGTACCTGTTGCTTTGGTTGCATGACGTAAATGTTGTTAGCCTGGTATCCAGTCTGATCGTGGTCGGGGCCGTAATAAGAGCTCGGGGCCGTAAGAGCTCTGGCCCGCCCGCCTCACATAGGTTTCCCGGTGTGTATTTCACGAGAGATTGATTAGCCCTTCCCGTGTTGGGGGAAACCAAATCCCCAAGCATACTGTCTCTGATTAGCGTAACTCTCCTACCGGGACGGCCTGTTGCACTGGGCGGGGGAAGCTCTTAGAGCCCCCGAAGACACAGCCTGCCTGAACACCCCAATACCCCCAATCACGTAAGCCTGGAAACCAGGCTAAAATGTTGTGTGAACAAAACAGAGAGTCAGAAGCGAGGAGAATTGAAATTTGCTGCATGGGGAGACATGTCTGGAGCTGAATAATAACAGTTTGGTTACGATCTGGTCACGCTTGACCTAGTGGGCTGAGAGGCGAAGAGTCTGGGAGTAAATTTGGGAGTGAGCTTTGCCCCATATCTAACGCGAATTTTCGATGTACTGCGTCGTACTGGCCTGTACACTACACCAGGCACTTAATAATAATAACCTTTATTGTACATCCATGCCCTACCGGGCTAAGTACAGGCGAACAGATGAAATAGGTAATATACATGTTTGTTGTACAAACAGCTCTAAAGCTACTCTAATACAGAAGTTCGGCTTCTTCTCGTTTCTTTGTGATGTTAAAAATACAATTTGAAATGGGTTTGTTTAATACAGGATGATCAAAGTGCATAAAAAAGATAAATTTTTCAATATTAGTCAAGTATGGGAAGTATGGAAACGTACATGTACTTGTAATAAGGCCACAGCAAGTAAATTTTATGGATGACATCCTCCGCAGACTCCAAATCTAATGCGCGCGAGCGAAAAAAAAAAACAAGGTGGACCGAAAAAAACAAGGTTCCTACATTTTCAAATTTTGACTCAATCATTGTACAAATGGTTTTGATTAATAACAGTTTGGTTACGATCTGGTCACGCTTGACCTAATGGGCTTAGGGGCGAAGAGTACTAGTCTGGGAGTAAATTTCGGAGTGCGCTTTGCCCCATATCTAACGGGAATTTTCGATGTAAAGCAAATCCTCACCACTGAGCCTATGGTGGTAACAAGCATAAGCTACACCCGATCTCTTATTGTATATAGAATGTTTTATTTGATTTTGTATAAGTTATTTTGTCTCTGCTGCTACCTTTCAGTTATTTAAATGGCTGATCAATTTGTTATATTCATCTTTTCTTTGGAATTATGATGAGTTAGACATTATGTTCTATTCAGTTATTTATGTTATTTATACCTTTGTTAATTTTGTGGGCACCTTTGTTGTTTACGTACAACGGATTTTGAACTTACTTTATTGTTTTGTAATCATCATTATGTACAAGTTTTGTTATTTATGTTTCATTTTATTGACCCCAGGAAGAATAGTGCTTTTAAGCACTAATGGGGATCGAAATAAACAAACAAACAAACAAACAAACTGCGTCGTACCGGCTTGTACACTACACCAGGCTCAATCAACACTTAACGGACATAAGGCCACAGCATGTAAATTTAATGGATGACATCCTCCGCAGACTCCAAATCTACTGCGAGCGAGCGAAAAATTTAATAAAAACAAGACGAGCCGAAAAAAACAGGGTTCCTACATTTTCAAATTTTGACTCAATCATTGTACAAATGGTTTTGATTCAGTGGGAACATCACATATACGCAGCCAGCATCACATATCACTGCATCAAAGTAAAAAAAAAACCCAATGCATTATATCAGAGCATTTCTTGACTCCTGTCTTCATATTTATCTGCCATCCACGTTCCGGTATGGCAATAGACATCTTTGCCCATTTTCGGCATGTTGACCACTGTCAGAAGGCAACAAAATTTCTTTTTTTTTTCCAAAGTCAGGCGAAAATTAATGCGCACGCTGATGTCATCCATAAAAATTACTTGTGGCCTAACAACCTATGGACCATTACTCAAACGTATCTCGAGTGTCCTTTTCAACATATCTAATATGAATTTCCGATGTGAAGGCTCGTATCGCCATTGCCCTATGTACACTACATGTACTACATCATGTTTGCTGGACAGTTGATGGCGCCAAAGCAACGCTTGAAGGTAGCGGCTAGTAGAATTTATGTAAGGGGACAACGTGAAAAGAAAGAGAAGCATTAAATGGGCAAATACTTTCTACCAGATTTTCAAAATTATAAACGTTGCAACTAGAATTGAAGCGACAAAATATAGTATCAAAGATGCCATACATAGAATATATATTTATGTTACTGTCACAGTTATTTTTCTTACGCATCAAGCCCAGAAAGGTTACTAATAAAAGAAGAACTTTATTGCACGACAATTGCACATGGTACAATGTATGGCAAACTATATATAAGATGTTTATTTGCAAAATCATGCCCGAAGGCTAATTGCTTGTACAGTCAAGTATACAGAAACAGGAGAAAGGTAACAATCTGTCTGGAAAAACCTCTACTTCTACTATTACTCTAGCTATTATGGGGTTCGACGTCTTCTTTGAAGGCAGTGGATAATGAATAGTCCCACATATATAAATATATATATATATATATATATAAAGAGAGTAACAACAATAAAATAAGTGTGTTGAACAACACCTAATGTCGAATAAAACCTAACAAATCTATATCATAATTATTCAAATAATATGGGATAGCACAAGTCTTTGATGAAGTGTTACAATCGAGTGGGCTAATCACAAGTTTCGGAATTTTTTCTAACAAAGCGTTGTGGGGACCATTACATGTAAAGATATATTCAAATCTGTCTCCAACATCGAGACTCTTGAAATCTATTGTACTTGATTCGAGAAATGTAAATAGCTTGTTACGTATAACATCATATTTGGTACATTCCATAACAAAATGAAATTCATTTTCTATATGCTTTGGACAAAATGGACAGAACCTTTGGTCAGGGGCTATATTGTAATATCTGCCTGTTTCAATATTCAATTTATGGCTACTGATTCTTAATTGAGTTATTGCTTTACGAATTTCAAAGTTATTTATATCACAAAGGTATGTTTCTTGTTCATAACAGTTAACAGCTAAAAAAAGACAGCTTAGAATTATTTCTAATGCAGCTAAACCACTCTTGATATAAATATATATAATAAATAAAAGAGCGCTATTTATTGTAACAATCAATGTGCATAGAGGACCCTGAAACCATAATGCCTCACCTAAACCTATTTATAGTCAATCATGCCTAAAATTGATCGAAGGATATCAACCTATCATTCTATGGTACTGGGCGAAGAATGTATGTGTAGGGTGGGCTACGGCACGAGTTTTTTTTCTTCAGGTTTTTCTTCCTAGAGTAGAATTTTTTTCTATCATGTGCTAACGTAAACAATAGCCTGGGTTGTTGTACCACTCCTGGATAATCATTGGTTTACAGCAAAGTTGCAAAGTTCTAGCTACATGCAGAAGTCCTGGTGGTGGAGAGAAGATGCCAGTGTACTCTTGTTTTGAATGACTGGAGGTTGTTGTCAGTGATTGAATCAAGATGTATTTCATGCCCGTAGCC